GGAGCTCCTGATGGGCCCAGATATTAAACTAAATAGTTACGAAAGTCTATATCTTCTTTGTTGCCATTGTGTATAGTCATAAGAATAACCCAGAATCAACACTACATGGAAATGCAACATTTCTCACTGGTGAACTGTCACTCAATGACCGGTGAGCTGTCAAATCAGGCAGCTAGTGACTGAAAGTGTGAAATGCACGTTGCGCAGATAATTCTAAATAAGCGCATAGATAAATCTTAAAATTCATAAATGACGTATAATAACATCAATATAAGACTTAAAAAGCATAAATGTGTAACAAGCAGACACTGATAATTAGCCAAATGTAGTTTTTGACAAGTGCGTAGTAATATATGAACTGCTTTGGATATCACTGTAGAGTTAAGCAGTCAGTGTTGTGTTATTCCTGCAAGGTAAACAAGATGCAGGACTTAGAATCTGAGTGGCTGATATGCAAGGTATATTTTCATTATTTAGCAGTGACTATGAGGCCAGCGCCTTAAACTATGTTCAACCCTATTCAGTTTCTTCCGCTCTATAAGATGACGGTGTCCATTTCCCTCTATCTATGCACGTCGCTATAAATAACTTATACCCCTGTATCATGTAAAACAGTACATTATATTTGTATGAGGGGAGGTGGGCACTATTATGTGGATGATTATTATATAAATGTTGTATGTGTGTGTAGGTGCATGCATGTATATATATATATATATTATATATATATTATATATATATATATATATTCACTGTCAAGTAAGTTTCTGTAGGTCATTTACAATATTGTTCAAGAAATTACTGAGGCAAGAAGCAAGTTCTTTATTGCAAGTATTTTATTCATGGCAGTTCATACATTAAGTACTTTAATATCTTTAAGAAGCTTTGCTTGGTATATTTGTATCATGTTTTTGAATACATTATTTTTCATAAAAACAAATATGTATTCCTTAAAATGTTATGTCAACATATTTCTTTGATACTCCTGTAATGTTGAATATTACAGTGATGGAAAATATTGAACTGAAAGTTAGTTGTATATGATTTAAAATGTGATATTTTAGCCTGTAAGCATGATTTTAAAAATAAAGTGATCATATACAATCAATAGGTGTGAAATTAAGTCTGTTGTGTTGCATGTCATATAGGTCTTGAGTCTTTTGGTTTAATCATTTCCTTTAGAATTTATTGTTTTAATGAAGAGAGTGGAATCTGTGTTTCGTTTATATATAGAATTACTCTTACTGAGAGCAAGAGAAAAAATGAGAAAAAGGTAATAGTGACAAAAGTGATTAATAAGATTGGTGAAAGGAGACAGACAGACACACACACAGACAGACAACACACACAGACAGACACACACACAGACAGACACACACACAGACAGACACACACACAGACAGAACAGACACACACAGACAGACACACACACAACAGACACACAACACAGACAGACACACACACAACAACACACACACACAGACACACACACACAGACACACACACAACACACACACACATACACACACAACACACACACACAACACACACACACACCACACACACACACACACACACACACACACACACACACACACACACACACACACACAGACAGACAGACAGACAAGAACGAGAGACAGACAGGCAAAGAATGAGAAAGAGACAGACACACAGACAGACTAGTACTCTCATTCACTCTGTGAGCTCTGTATGAATAGAAGAAAAATATTTTCTGACTGTGAATATATCTGCATCCTGGACTCTGTATAATAGTAATAAAAAAGTATTGTAAATAAGAGAGAGTGTGAGAGAGAGAGAGAGAGAGAGAGAGAGAGAGAGAGAAGGTATGCTAAAGGTGATATATGTGAAGGAGACCATGTCCTCAGTATTTGAGACTGCAGAATATACCACTCTCTATCATCTGTCTCTGTCTGGCTCCCTTTTGCCATGTTTATATTCCTTCTTTCTCTTTTCTTTATGTTTGTATCCTTTTTTTCATGTTTCACCTCCTTTCATTTGTTTCTCCTTTTTTCCCAATTATCTCCTTTTATTTTATTCCTCTTTTTCCTTCCTTTGATCGTCTTCATTTATTTTTCTTTCTTTTCCATATTTTTTTCAGTATTTTAGTAAGTTCCCTTTTTTATTAACATGATCCATTTTCTTCATCCGTTTTATTTTCTCCTTGTATGTATCTACCATTTTTGTCATTTTTGCAACCAGTAATTACCTTCTTTTTTGTAATAATCTCATCCATTCTTTTTTTCCATCTCCATCTATCTCTTTTTTCTTTCTTTCTTCTTTTTTTTCTTCTTCTTCTTCTCCAATTTTCATCTTTCATATTTTTACTCCTCATTTTCATTATGTTGTTCTTTTATTATTTATTTTTCTTCATTTTCAATTATCTTGTATATTTTTTGGAGAGAGAAATATATATTTTTTTGAGAGTGAAATGGAGGAGAGATATGGGGAAGAGAGATATGGGGAGAGAGAGATATGGGGAGAGAGAGATATGGGGAAGAGAGATATGGGGAGAGAGAGATATGGAGAAGAGAGAATATGGGGAAGAGAGATATGGGAGAGAGAGATATGGGGAGAGAGAGATATGGGGAGAGAGATATGGGGAAGAGAGATATGGGGAGGAGAGATATGGGGAGAGAGATATGGGGAGAGAGAAGATATGGAGAGAGGAGATGGGGAGAAGAGAAGATGGATAGAGAGAGAGAAGAGAAGATGGGGAGAGAGAGATGGGAGAGAGAGAGAGATGGGAGAGAGAGAGATGGAGAGAGAATATGGGGAGAGAAGAGATGGGAGGATGGGGAGAGAGAGAGATGGGAGAGAGAGAGATGGGGAGAGGAGATATGGGGAGAGAGAGAGAATGGGGAGAGAGAGATATGGGGAGAGAGAGATATGGGAGAGAGAGATATGGGGAGAGAGAGAGATATGGGGAGAGAGAGAGGAGAGAGAGAGAGGGAGAGGAGAGAAGAGAGAGGAGAGAGAGAGAGAGAGAA